ACAAAGAAGAAATACAGGATTCTGTACCTCTTCTATGAAGATATGAAAGAGGCAAGAGTCTTTCTGCTCCCTTCTTACTAACGTTGTTATTTTGTGATACAAGACTGTTCACTTCTCCTCCTCAGATTAAGAATTAGATACAGGATGTAGACCTCCTCCTGTTCTGCCAATCTAAGTCTTAACCACCTAAAGTTCCATTAACCCCCAAATGGCCAACAGTCAGGTAAGAATAGGAGGGGACTTTTGTAGCATCTCCAGGGCCAAAAATTCCAAGTTGCTTGAACAGATTCCTTAGTCCAGCATTCTCATTTTACCAGGCCTGAATCAGGTGCTTCTGAAAGCCTATGAGTAGGAGATGAAGTTGACAGTAGAAAACATATATTTTCAACATTCAGTAATCAAAGATACAAGTGCAGGGTGATCACAAAATGTTGCAAACTATACCCCAGCACCTATGGCAACCTTTCTCATGCTGATGCCTTCTAGGTATTTGGACAACAGTTCCAATTATGCTCAGCTAGTTTGGAAAAAGAGCCTTGTAGGGAGAGGGTTATGTGAGGAAGAAAACAATACAGATTCCTTACCCCCATTTCTTCTCTTCTGGAAGAGGAGTCAGGCTTGAGTTGATTGCCATCCCCAAACCTGGTACTTTATTGCTGAACTGTAGATCATGTCTCATTGTGGAGAATGAGAATGGAAAAAGGCATTCCTTCTACCAGTCTCCTTCTGGGTGAGAGATAGTTTGGAGCTTTGAGAACCTGTTGTGGGTGCTCTCATAAACAGATGATATGGGGGAATTTTTCCATTCATTAAGTGGTTGCTGTGGGGTGGGAAACCTAGAACTCCGCCTGTCCCCTCCAGATGCCCCCACAGCTGTCCCTCCCATATCTTTGAAGATCCCAACTGTAACTATTTTCTTAATGGATTGGAGAGAAGGGTTTTTGAACCTCCTAGTATACACCCTTTTCTTCTTCCCAAAGGTGGGAAAGAAAAAATACAATACTCCTTTCCCTCAAGGATGCAAAACTGCTGTCATCCATTCAATCTCATTTTCTTTTATTTCCACTTATTTATTTTACTTAGTGTTTGTCCAGAATGGCATTTCTCAGATCCTCTTCCTAATTACATATCTGTAGAAAGATAGGCCTGGAAGTGGATCTAGATTTAGAGATATCTCAGAGTAGACCCATGGAAATGAAGAACCATGGCATGTTTCACTAATTTCAGTAGGCCTGCTTTACCAAAATCAAAGCCATCCCAGAATTTATGTTTGTCTCTTTTCTCACTTCCTCCGTGCAAATTATCTCCTTCAAGACAATTACTTTAAGATCTTAGAGGTCCTGTCAGATTCCCCTCTCTTTCTTTCTGTGTCTCCGACTTCTCTCAGTTGATTCGTCAGAATTCTGTAGTTCCTGGAAGCTCATGGGTTCTTGTCAGGGAAGTTATGTGTGTATGTATATATTTTTTAAAATCTATATTTATATTTATATAGCCGCACAGAGTCACCCATCAAGGGAGATGGGTGGCATACAAATTTAATAATTAATTAATTATTAAATTAATTATTAATTAATGGATTTAATTAATTCTGTAAATCCAGGAAGTCAGTTGAATATGCAGAAGCCACTCCTTTATTTTGGGATAGCTCTGTTTTGTTTTCAGATTGAAATTTGGCCAGCCACATGTGGCATTAAATCATTCAGGCTCATCATGGAGATTCATGGCTAAAAATTATGTGCACATATGTGTACCTGCAAAGCATCATAAGGAAATAAGATGCATTCTGGACTGGATTACAGCTAGACACCAGATAGGTAATAGCCTTCAAATTGCTACAGGACAGCATATTTTAATTCATTTAAAATAACTCAATAGACCACACTGCTCTTCCTAATCCAAAATTCCTGGCTTTCAGTAGTTGATTGTTGCTTTGTACATAGGATCCACAACGGGAGATTCGGAAGATAATGGAATTCCTAGAGAGGCCAGCTGATGACAACCTTGTCCAGAAGATTGCACACCATACCTCCTTCAAAGCGATGAGTGAGAACCAGATGGCTAATTACAGAAGCATTCCCACTTCAGTTATGGATCACACCATCTCTCCTTTCATGAGAAAAGGTGAGCCTGTCAAATAATCAAACTGGAGCTGGACGAAGGGTGAGTTGTATCTCTAATGCTCACAAGAAGATAAAATACTAGTGCTGCCTTCCCCAACCTGACATGCTCAGGAACTGTTAGATTTGAATTCCCAGCCATCAGGACTATTGGCTGTGCTGTCAGGGGTTATGGAATTTGAAGTCAAGCTTTCTGCTCTTAATAACACCTTGAACTACTTGAGGAAGGTGGGATGGAGGTCAACAATAATTGTAGCACGGAGATGTAATATTATCGTTGTACAGGGGTTCCCAACCTGGGGCGTCCATACCCCCAGAAGGTGCAAGATGGAATTTCAGGGGGTGTGACAATTTTATGCACTGAGTTCTAAGCTTACTTTTTTAAGTTCAATTTGTTCACCCACATTAGAAATTAGACTTCTTCATCTTCAAATGTGATATTACTTTCATAGGAGGTGCAAACATTAATCAAACATTTCCTAGAGGTGTGGGACATGGAAAAGGTTGGGAACCACTGTTGTAGGCAAATAGGCTCCTCTTTGCAGAAGTGACATGTACAACAATCTTCACCAGTCTGGGCAGCCTGCAGATGTGTGGGCTTTAACTCCAAGACTGTCCAGCAAGAATGACCATGACTGACAATGCAATGCAATGGCCTGGGGTAGACTAACATGTATCATTATCAGAGAAGGCTGTGGCTGGGCTCTTGAGGGATTAATGGCTCTCTTACTTTTGATCCTCTTCCTTGAGATTTCAGTGCTTCTATGGGAATCCCAAAGTGGGAAACAGACAAGTCAGATCTTGAGGTCTGACAATCCTAATCAAGATGAAAAAAATATGGAGTGAGGAACTGAGATTGTGCCTGCCTTGTGCTTGCTTCCGTATTCTCCCAAATATACAGTATCTTGTTCATCAGCCTTCTATTTCCCTCTGCCCATTTTCCCCTAATTTTTCTGTCCAGAGAAAATATGTTATGAAAAAAAAACACAACAAGCACACCATGCTTTTTGAGAAGCATTTCTAGGAGCCTTCGGTCTGGAAGCACCTCAAGAAACAGAACTTCTTTGATTCCTACAATAGTCACCACGTCATAGGGAGCTTACTCCACATCTTATTCAAGACTTAGAGTTTACCACTCAGGTTGGAGGCAAAAGAGAAAGGACTGGCAGTTGTTAAGCTCAGAAATTATCAGCTTTTCCTGGTAATATGTCATTATATAATCACATAATTCCCCAGGCATACATACTATAAATACATATACAACTCTGCAAAAATCTCACAAGGGTTCAACAAAAATTCCATGCAAACTTACTAAAATCCCACAAAAGCTCGTGAGAGACCACCAACATTTCAAGAGATTTTGGTGATGCCTTGAGTGACATTTCAGTCTTTTAAAATTCAGTTATTTTATTTGGAGAGGGGGGCTTTTCAAAGTCCAGCAGATGCTTTGATA